TATATTGTGAATGCTGATCACTGATTTTCTTTTGTTTTTCTCAGCTATGAACTGCATTGAAAAGAATTAAGATTATCAAAGATCACACTCACAATATACATACTATGAACAGCATTGCTTTAAATTAATAGTTATAGAAGGTATTATTTGTATTAGTAATATCATTACTCATTGCTATTTCAAGGGATTATCTTAATAGAAAGAATTTCCTTTGACTTTTTATTGTAATTTTGGTGAAAATGTCCACAGGAAATTTGTGTTATTAACAGTAAGATTTTTGGTAAAGTGCCTTTGGGTGGAAAACCCTTGTTTTCAATGTTAACAGCAAAATTTCATTGCTTAAAAGAAATAGTTTTGAGATTTTGTAAAATATCTAAATTTAAGTTTTAGTGTTCTTTTTATGTTATTTTTTACAGATGACCTTGAAAGATATTCGGAAATAATCAAGAGGTCCAAAGCAATTGAAATGATCTTCACGCTCTACCCTCCACTGGGTGCCCAGGTGAAAAAAAATACACAAATTAAATCAACTTGGCTAAGACCCATAGTAAATGGGGAAGAAGGATATAAATATATAGGTAAGATGTTGAAGTTTAATATTTCTTCTCATAATAAAAATGGCATGACTTTAAGCTATTTAATTCATATTTATCACTTAAAAACTGTGTGGTGATACATAAGATCTTTATAATTATCTCCTATTTCTGAGGAATTAGCCTACAATTTAAAAAAATGACCATTTTGCAATTTGGTGCTTCTGTTAGAGTATAAATTTAAGATCATTGTTTTGTGTAATCCTCTATGTGTAGTGTCTATTAAAGTGCCTGCCAAATAGAATTAGGATTCAATAAACCCAATTGCATGAATGTCGTTGACATAGTCTCAACTATTAGTTTTTACCTCCCATAAATGTAAAAGAAGTTGGAGCTACAATTTTTAACACTAAAACAAAATTTCCCCTACAGATAATAGCTCTATTTAGAAATCAAAGCACACCATTTATATCCTATTAGAAGTGAAATATGGTACAAAATCTAATGCAAGATAAAATGTTATAACATGTCATGTAGTATGGGCTTTTATTAAACACTCTTATGTTGTGTTTTCACATATAAATATAGTTTGCATATATTTAATACAAATATTTTGGAGCTTTGATTTGCATTTGAGGAAATGATTACACTGTACATGTAAGGCTTGAAAATATTACATATGTATATACCCTAGTGAGGAATCCCTGGATAGCACAAATGGCAAAGGGCTAACTAATGAGCTGCAAGGTTGGTGGTTTGAACCCAACCAAAAGTATCTTAGAAGACAGGCCTGGTGATGTATATCCTGAGACATAGCTTTGAAAACTCCATGGGCAAGCAAATGTACTGTGTACATGCTTGTGTGGTATTACACTGGATTATAGTCTACTGAATGACAATTAACAAGCAAGTTGGTTCATGATCCTTTGTTAATATCATTGCAAGATTAGCTACTTATTGTGACTTTCTCAATTCTTAAAATTGACGTAATAGAAATACATAGTGTTCTTTATATATTACTTCTTTCACTCAGCTCTGAAATTCTTCAATGTCTATTCCTTCAGCTTCAGGTACAATTGGGTATTTCAGGTTTGGAACTATTGTGACATTCTTATGTATGCCTTTTGTTAGATTTTCAATTCCATTTCTCCATGAACTGCTATGATGCCCCCTAGTGTTTTTTATCTTGGAAGTGTACCTAACAGTGAAGGTACTTTGTTGTAGAGTAAGCAGGGTTTGGCCTTATTAGCTACAGCCAAATTATTATCAATGTGGTTGCATGCCTAGTGTGCTATTGGGAATACTTTTCCCAGAAACGGAATTCTAGATTTATCCAGAATTATGTTTGAAGTCATCTCTATGATACATTAGAGCGTTATCCTGTTTTCTGCACACTTACTAACATTTAATATGATAACACTTTTATTTTCATGATTGCCATGCTTTGTGTATAATAGGAACCCCTGGTGGTGCAGTGGTTACTCATGGGGCTATGAATCACACGGTCTGCAGTTTGAAATTACTGGCTGCAGTGCAGACAGGTTTTCTATCCCTGTAAATAGTGATAGTCTTGGAA